AGGGGGGGGGGGGTGGGGGGGGGATTCGTGAGCCCTGATGCCTTTTTGCAGGGAAGGGCCGTCGTGTCTGCCAGTTCAATTCCCACCTCCACCTGACCTAAAAAATAGGTCTTACGGGAAGAGAATAAATAAATAAGGCCGTGGGGTGATGTTTTGGGTTTATTTCGTTGGAAAAAGGCGGTGATCCCGCTGGAAGGCCGTGGCTCGAGGGGTCGTTGCAGCCATTCAGTGCAGAAGTCGTACGAGCGCTCGGAAATTATCGGGTCCTTGGGGTGGGTGGTTTGGGTTTTATGGTATTGGGCTGGATTTTTTAAAAAAAAAAAAAAAACAAAAAACGAACCAAAAAACCCCAACAAATAACAACAACAAACACACACACAAATAAAACAATTCTTTTTACAAGAAGCAGGCTGGGCCAATGTCGACGCCGAACTCCTGATCGGCTCCACCAATGTCCATAGGTGCAATATCTACAATGGGCAGGCGCGAGGTCTTCTGCGACCGGTACTCGATGACTGTCTTGCCCCATTTGCCGGTGTGTTTCTGGGGAGAAAACGAGGAGGAAGGATGGCGTGAGATGCTCTGGAGATGCTCCAAACCAAGAGCAACCCAAGGTTCGTGGGTTGAACCTCAACTCGTCGCCCACGTCTTGCTCTCGCAGTGGACTTACCGTGCAACCGTCCTCCAAGACGCTGTAGGTGAACCTGCTGTTGCCCTCGGCTCTGATCTCCACGTCGTTGGAGCCCTGGATGAGGATGGCTTTCTTCAGGTTGCCCGTCTCCTCGTCCATGTAGGCGATGCTGTTCTTGCAGTGGTAAGTGACGTTCTGGGAGCCTTCGGTGGACAGGAGGCGGAGGAAGGTCATCTGGATGCTGGCGGTGTTGGGAGCCAGGTCTTCATCGCCGTAGCTAAACTGGAGGGGAGAGGCGAGACGTTAAAGCCTACGGGTGTCGCAACAACTCTGTTTTCAGCCACCTTTTGAGGGGACTTCCATCCTTTACGTGCCCAGATGGCTGCAAAAATCACAGCCCAACTGACCCAACTCCAAGCTTTCAATATAGTCCTCTAGAACAGCCAATCCCTCGTACAACGTCCATCAACACAACCCCGAGGAAAGACATCCCAACCCTCCAACCAGACTCCCAACGCCTTCCCCTGCTCAACTTCCGTTCCCGGCATGCAGCACCAGGCCAGGAGGACACTTACATGGAAACCGCCATTGATGGTCTCTGCGAACCAGACGTGCTTCTTGTCTTTGGTCTTGCTGGTCCACCAGTTCTTCTTGGGGATGCTGCTGGGGTTGGGGTAGACGCAGGTCTCGCCCGTCTCCATGTTGCAGAAAACTTTGATGGCGTCCAAGGTGCAGCCTTGGTTCGGGTCGATCCAGTAGTCTCCTGCAGCGGGGAGGGCAAACGGTGTGTGAACAGGAGGTTTTGGAGGTCAGAGCAAAGCTCGTGGTGGACCTCGCTGTCCTCTTGGGTGCAAGAGGCTGGGGGCGAAGGACGGGGGGGGAGGAGGCAGGGGTGGGGG